ATGAACATTTTTTTGTAACGAAAAAAATATTGAACCGTGACACCAAAGTACCGAACCGTGAATTTTGTGTATCGTTGCGCCCCTAATGTGTATATAGATAGATAGATAGTAACATTTGAAAGAAAGTATGACTTTAGTATTTTTTCATTAACTGGATTTTTTGTTTTTGTTTGTAACAGGCAGGTTTAACAATGGAGTAAATATCTATGAGTAAGCCAAACTGTTAACTTGCAATTTCAATTCGCTCTCTCCTCCAATGTCGATGGGGCAAAAACAAGCAAACGAATCCCAAAAAACAAAAATGCACACATTTTTGGAGGCTTTGTACCTTTCGGCTTGCATTTGATGGTATGGCTAACTGATGTATGTCTCATATGTTTTATAGAGCCTCACCTCTACAAGATCATGTAAATGTGCCATTGAATGGGAGTTAATAGGCCTTGTTGTGTTTATTGAGTCTAAGCAGAGCAATTTTTTTTTACTGCTGCTAAATAAATGGCAGGATCCAAGATTTCCCAGAAACACTTTGTATTCTCTGAGTGTTTCTATTGACCAGTTGATTATTTTAGAGTCATAGCAACCTGTTAACATATATCAGTAAGGGCTAGGGTTGGTGTTACAGTTGTGCCGATATTTCTTCTAAGATTAGCTGTAAAGACCAAAATTTCTTGTTATTGAAGAAACAAAAAGTTATTTTTTTCAGTTCATTGGATCAGCTAACTTGGACTAAAATTATTAAACCTCACTAACAGACCTAAACACTAACAAGCCTATATGTAGTGTTTTTGTGCTTCTGAATTACACATTAGACTTCACCAGTCTGCCACACACTGATCTGTAACTCCATTTTGTTGTTCTTCCTATTCAGGACATCAACACCCCATTCATAATGACAGATAGCGTCCAGGAGTTTGGGGATGGAGAGAACACTGAGTTTGAGACGGTGTTTGTTCTCACACAATTTGATTCTCCTGAATACAACTACCTCTACAAACATGAACACCGCATTGTTGGGCCTCCTGTTGTGCTGCACTGTGCTGCGAAGGATGAAGTGAGTCTTTGATTGACAACAGATTGATTTTATGCAAAGGTTGTGGGGCATAAAAAGTGTCCGTGTAGATTTGCTGACAATATTATGCAATCAAGAAACAGTTCACTTCATTTTCTCTAGAACAGCATCTCCTCAGCTTCATCTAAAACATGGCTTCTGGAATTCAGCAGATATTTACGTCTTCACTCTGAAATCCTCGCTCGGGGAAATATGTTGTCTGTTTGTTGTGTGGGGGGGATCCAACGGAGATGGCCCTGAAATGGAACTTGATTTAAAAAAAAAGCAGGATGCAGAAATTGCATTGTGACTCAGAACAGGATGATGAACAGGAGCAGCTCCTCCCTGCTGTGCCGTCTGTCTGACAGACTTCACACAGGATACTGTTGTCGAACGATATGCCCCGACTGTGGCTGCTATCAACAAGACGGAGTGCATTTGTCAGTTGAAGACAGCGCACACATGCATGACTACAATTCAGAGCATGAACGAGGTGTATCTGATGACAAGGGAAATGATGTTAAGCTATTGTGCAGTTACAACAGGCTGCTATCTGAAATTAGTAGTCACTTTTACTTAACCATTGCATCCTGCATGCTCTGGCACAATTTGTCTCGTAGATAATGTTTAAATATTGTTAAAGGAAAACTTAAAATTCGAATTTGTTATTAATTCCACTCTTTAATTTTACTGTTTCTTTATCGTAGCCTCTCCAGTTTTCATGTCGACCTCTCTACTCCACCACCATGTTAAACCTGTCTCTGTGTTTCACTGGATTCAGGAACAAAGAGGAAATGGTGAGTTCATGAAGCATATACATGGCACTATCTGTTTGTAGTTCTGCTAATAAACAGACAAAAAAACAAAAACCTCTTTAAGTAGAAAAGTTAAATTTCTATCCAACATTTTACACGTGGTGTGTGAGGCCAAAGTAGTTTCTGCTATCATCTGATACGGTGTAAATTAGATTAAAGAACTTCTGGCCTTTCCCACCTTGATATTAATTTTTGTGTTGACCTTGTGGTTTTTCTTTGTTTTTGTAGAAAAACTTGGTGAATCTGGTTCATCACATGGGTGGGACCATACGGAAAGACTTTAGCACAAAGGTCACTCATCTTGTTGCATACTCCACTCATGGAGAGAAATACAGGGTTTGTATATACTTTTCCCCTCCTATCTTTTTACTCTCTGTGCATCCAATATTAATTGCAGTGTGTTGAAGGGATGAGCATTAATTGACAAACTTCTTAACCTATTATATACTCTTTGTTGCTTTTTTTTTAAAAACCTGTTAAGAGACAGCACTTCCAAAGGGGCCTTTTTTCTGCAAAGGAACACTTCACTTTCTAGCTTTTGGAGACTTGATAGGTGAACCACCACCAAATACTATCAAGAGAGATAACTGGCAAATTTTTCCCTACTCTGAAACCAAAGAAAACACAGTGAATCATTTTCTTACAAAATAAAAAAACAACAACTCAGAAATAAGGCATGACGTTTCTGAATCGATCTTCAGTTTAGTTCTGCAGTGTCTAGCTTCAGTGGTTATTGTGAGTAACCGGAGGCGTCACATTCTGCTGGATGCCCCTGATTTGCATTAAGTAGCCTTAAACTGGGGAGCTGGCGACTCATTGCCCTGGTGCTCAAAATAACGCATCAAGGCTTGCATGGAAATGATGGAGCCTACGCACATGTTCTTGACTCCATTAGAATACATGTTTAGAAGACAGGAACATTATTTACAGCTTTTGCAAAGCTAACAAACTTATTATACTTTCTGCTAAATTGTCATTGTTTTGATGCATTAACTAGAAGGATTAAAAAAATAAAAATAGAATAATTATGTTACCTAAACATGGGGAACAACATCTCCCCTTTTTTGCAACTGAAAACAGAGCTATATGTCAAACTGAAGTCAAGATACCAAAATAATTGAAGCAAATATATATATATATATAGAGAGAGACTTGAGTGACTTATTTCTTCCTCCTGGCTTTTTCATTGTACACCACTTCTTTTGACTGTGAAACGCTGCTCTCTGCTTGAATAAATAGAATGAGCAGGACTGATGTGATGCCCCCCTGCAACCTAGCTTGAATCCTAATGTCTGGTCTGTCAGAAAGTTGTAATTTAATTCCAGTTAAACAGCAGTTTTCTCTGTTTTGTGCCCTCCGTGGGGATAAATAGAGATCGATGGGTGGGCGGATGAATAGGTTGACACTTGTCATTCTTGTCGTTTTTCCGCTCGGATGAACAGATGCTTGATGCTGTTCTGCTTTTAGTCATCCTCACAATTATTTTCTTATTAATCCATTTCTTCCTTTTCTCTTCCTTCACTGTTATTTCCTCTTTTCAGTTAATTTTTTCATTGTTTTGTGCTTTTCTATCTCAAAGTACTGTGAAGGGTACATTTTGTTCTAGCAGAAAAGACAAAATGCAGTGAACTTGTTGTGAGAGGCAGTCAAGGCTGTTTTCCATTTGAAAGTGTGACGCTAACTTAAAGAAAAAAACTGAATTGTTTCAACCCCAGACACTCTTTTTTTATATTGTGCCTGAAGTAGAAAATGTTTGTACCTGTCGCGTTTTGTATTGTGGTTCTGAGTGACAGGGCGATCAGGAGTAATGAAAACAGATGGGAGAGGTAGTTATGCTGTTATCAGTGACAGCAGAGCTATTTGACGGTCTTTTAGTTGCAAAATTGTGCCTAGATGAATGTCATGTCCTTCTTTTTGTTATTTCTGTCATTTCTGCCTCATTTCTTATTCACCAATTACCCATTTGTGTTCTCCTCTGCTGTGTTTTGTCCTTAGCTGGCAGTGTGCATGGGGACACCCATCCTCACTCCATCATGGATTCTTAAGGCCTGGGAAAGAAGAGATGATGTGTAAGTTGAATGTTGAATACCATGTAAAGGACATGTGCTTCCAACACATGCAGTACTTTGGTAAAGCAGGTAACCAGCTAGTGCCAGCCCATCCTCTGGGCTTTCAACGATCAGCTGGCCTGCTAGCCAGGTTGCTATTGTGGTGATCGTCACCAATTCTAGTAGCTGCTTCCCCAAAGAGAATCTCGCCCTAGAGCTGGGACTCAAACCCTGCAGCTGGCTAAAATAATCATCATCCTCCTGCTCTGAAGATTCACTCTAATTGGCAGCTCACAATGCTTATCAAGTAAACAGGAGGAATTTAAGAAAGTAACATGGTATTTAATTAAACTACAAAAGCCTGTGAACTAAAAAACATGTACCGGTACAGTGGTCTCGCGTTTCTCGTGGGAGTTCCGTTCTAAAAATGACCCGTGATAGGTGAGATCCGCGAAGTAGCCAGCTTTATTTTTTTACGATCATTATAGATGTTTGAAGGCTGTAAAACCCCTGACTACACACTTTATATACTTTTCTCAGACAGGCACGAACATTTTCACACTTTTCTCTCTTGTTTAAACAAAGTTAAAAACCTTGTGAATCAATGGTATGGAAGTAGCGGAAGCAAGAAGAATGAGTTAAGTAAAGTTTGACTTTTCTGACTGTTTTGTTTCGCTTAATGCGCCTTATAATCCGGTGTGCCTTATAGTCCGAAAAATATGGTAACTTCTACCTTCCTTTAGCATGTCCAGAAGTCCAACTTTTTGTGCGATGGTTAGCATCTTCTTTGGTTGGTTAGAAAACTTGCAAACATACAGCACATATAGCACTTCAGAGTCACACTGCTAGTGATCGAATCTTTTTTTATTTATTAACCTTTATTTAACCAGGAAAATCCCATTGAGATTAAAAACCTCTTTTTCAAGGGAGACCTGGCCAAGATCTTTATGTAAATTTGACAAGCTGAACACATTCTGTACTTTACAGGAGACACGGCACGGATGAGATTGATTGACAATGGTCTACAGCCAATCGGGACGCAGAACACAATGTGCCTTTACAAAAAAAAATCATGCATAATTGCACAAAAATAAATCAGTGAAGCCGCGAAAGGTGAACCGCGTTATAGCAAGGGACCACTGTATATGTATCCCTCCCCCACCATAAAGATAAATCTAAATGTGATTTTTCCCATCCTGAAATGGTATAAAACCAGTGCAAGCTAACAAGCTTTGTTGTTTCTGAATTGTTTCAAGCATGTTCCACCACTGTCTTCATGATGGCAGTGCTGACAAGAGTTCAAATTGGCTGATAATAAGCCATGTCAGGGCATCAAGCGGATGTTTATTACTTTGCTATGTGCCCAGAGGGGATAATTGTAAAACTGTCTTGTTTACTTATTGCTATGCATGATTCATGTCACCTATTATATACTTTGCATATCAGTGTTAGTTAAGGAGCCATTAGATAATTATTTTATGTTTAATTGCATCGCACACTACTGTTACTTACTGCACATACTGTTCAGTGCAGTAAAGTCATTATTAATTTTATTTTTTGTGAAGAAATTTCCACGCAGGTGACGAGGAGTTTCGAACTGAGTTCAAAGTGCCCCCGTTTCAGGACTGCGTTCTCAGTTTTTTGGGGTTTTCTGAGGAAGAGAAGGCCAACATGGAAGAGAGGACTCTTAAACACGGTCAGTGCCACATTTTATGAAAGCTTCATACAAAGTACACTAAAGACATTTAAAATCAGTTTGAGCACCCTCTACTACAGGAAGGTTTTTTGTTTAAAGCCGTGTGGAGAACTTGTGCAGTTTTTCTACAGTTTCTTGTCTGTAATCCCAGACTGGCTCCATATGACTGAGTCTTTCTGACCCTGACTGTAATTTAGAGGTTATTGTCTCATGTTCCAGAATGAATCTGTGATAAGGATTTAGTGTTGTGTGCATTTTATTTATATAATCTCCTGGTTTTTCTTCATGAAAGGTGGCATGTACCTTGAGGTTGGAAATGAAAGATGTACGCACATGGTTGTGGAGGAAAACCTGGTAAAGGAGCTACCATTTTCTCCCTCCAAGAACCTATTTGTGGTCAAACAAGAGGTAGGCCTTTATGTGTTTATTTTCTAGTCTTTGGCATTGATTTTTACTTAAAATAGCCTTGGATAATTATTGACATTATCATGGAATGACACACATTATAGACTAGAAACTATCTACTGATGGGATCACACTAGCTTTGATGCTTTTTAACGTACTGATGTTCTGACCCAGAAGAAGCTATTACTCAAGGTAACAGGTAGTCATTACTCTATTATTACTACTTCTCATTGGTCAGCCTTATATGTCATTAAACTCTGCCTTCAATTTGCTCTAAATTGCACATTTAAGTTTTTTTTTCTCTGTTTGCTGCCATGTTTTGTTGTTATTCTTGAGATCTACTACTAAAGCTGCTTAACATCACCCAACAAGCTATTAAAAGTTCAGAACAGCATCTCATACACACAGTAATGTTTCTGTGCAACTTCAAGACAAAAACAAGTTTGATTGGTAGTGGCTAAGACTGTCCAGACATAGCTGAATAATTAGTGTCCACTAGGGTTATGTTGCAGGAGGACAGGGACACCAGAGCAAAATAATGAATGCTCTGAAACAGAGTAATTATCTGATCAGGATTCTGTTAAGGTTAAATCTCAGTCAATACTGTCTCTGCTTCCCCCCTTTTCCTTCCGATGCTGTCAGAGAGGGGGTGAAAAATAGAGTTCCTCTTCCAGTGGATGAAAAGGTTAAATCACCTACATAACTTGGTTTGCCTGTATTGTTAACTACACAGTCAATATAGTGGTATCATTTTCTTTACTTTGTCAGTTTTATTGGTTTCAAAGGAAAGGGTACGATATTAAGTATTGTTAATCTTTTTCTGTATTTGTCCTAACTCGGGTCAATAAAAACTGCTGTTTCTTCTCGCAGTGGTTCTGGGGAAGTATTCAGATGGATGCTCGAGCTGGAGAATCCATGTACCTCTATGAGAAGGTGAGTACATGATTATTAAATTATTATTTGCGTATCTATAAAAGCAAAAATTATGTACACAATATTTATGTAAGACAACAAACGGTAAAAGGAGGATTTTTTTTTTCTAGATGTGCAAGTACAGCATACAGCCAGTATTTAGAAACAGTTCTCCTATTTGTTTTTTAATTCTAAGCTCTTTTATTTGTTTACATTGTCCCTGTTCCTGTTTAAATACTTAATTTTTGTTAGTTTGATGGTTTTAGCTTGCATATTCCTGACCAGTGGTAAACTGCCATCTGTTCTTTTAAGTCTTGCCATATTAATTCTTACCCCTTTCACTTCATTATGGAGTTTCCTATCACTCTCAAGCTTTATGCTGGATCCAGATTACACAGTATTATCACAAAACTAGCTGAAGCTGTAAAACAAACAAATAAATAATTATTTGAACATTTAAAAACCATGGCTGCCCTACATGACAATCAGTGCTTCATCTTGGACTTCCTCACAATATCGAGGAAGCGACAGTTGTGTCAAAAAACTGTGACAACTTCCAGAAAGTGTCCATGACGAACTGTAAAATCTCAGTGTACCTTTCCACATGCAACATAGAAATGAGAGATAAGATTAAGTGTAGATGATCCATACTGGCCTTTTTGTACTTCTCATTCATTTCATAATTTGCAAGAAATGTTCATGACCTTTTCATTCTTTAGTTTTTACATAGGTTGCTTTGTGTTTACCATGAGCTTTCTTTTTCCTCTCTGCACTTCAGAATGACAGCCCAGCTATGAAGAAAGCAGTGTCCCTCCTTTCCCTCACCACCCCAAACAGTAACCGTAAGCGTCGACGTCTGAAGGACACATTGGCTCAGCTCACCAAAGAAACAGAGATCTCTCCCTTCCCTCCGCGCAAAAGACCGTCAGCAGAGCACTCGTTGTCTATTGGTTCACTGCTGGACATCTCTAATACTCCAGAGACATGCAAGGCTTTGGCAGGTATTGATGGGAGAATGGATGACAGTCTCTTTTATGCAACTCTTAAGCAATTATGTCATATATACATTTTGCTAAATATTAATGGATCCCTGCAGGCAGCGTTTGTTTTTCCCACCGTAGTTGTGCTTTAGTTGAGTTTTTCTTTCTTCAGATGAAAACTGTACACAACTCTTCTTATTTCCAGAAGACAGAGTAGGAGAAAGTTTTGTGGCCAAGACTAGGATAGGAAGAAGGAAAACCAGGGAAAGGAGTAGGACAGACAGGGAGGAGAGGAGAAAAAGGTCCCATCTGACTACAAATGCTTGTCAACAACCAGAAGAAGAGCAGCACCAGGGAACTTATGGAGGTTTGGATTTTGAGCAGGACAGTGGGGATAGTGGTTGGCATTAATTAAGAGCTATTACAAAGTTATTGTTTGATGGATGACAAACTGCTTTTACGGTAATGTAGTTGGTTTTTATCTGTAACACAGCCAAATTGTTTCTGATTTTTTAGTTATATTCTCAATCACTCCCAGGCCAGCTGAGTGTAAAGGAGTACAAATGTGAAGCAGTCACCAGTTTGTCACCCTCAAACAAGCCAAGGTTTAATTTCTGGATAGCTCAGTGGATAGTGTAACTGTGCATGGCTTAACTATAAAAACCCATAATGAAGAGATTACAAGTATCATTGTATACAAAATGAAAATCTTAAGCACTGCAACTGACTAGTCACCAAATATTATAAAATACTAGCCTTACTTCCACTCAATGCAGTACCTTCATCTAAAGAGCATAGTTTAATACTTTAATTTGGCTTAAAGTGTTTGGGGGGATAAGATAAAAGCAGAACATGTAACAGATGTCAGATGGGGGGGGGGAAAAGCCATTGGCAGACATAAACATAACCGCTTAGCTCTGGGACGTTCAGCTTCTGATATCTCAGTTTTAGGAAAAATGCCAAGAAATTTCTCAAGGAGGTCGTCTTCACAGTCAGCATAGAGCAATGTAAGACACGTTTTGTGTGAACGTCTGACTCTCGATTTGGCAAACGGCATGTTCTCTAACGTTGAGAGCACTGGCTTGTAAAGACCAATGAGGTCAGCCAGGCCATGTCAAAGGAAATAATTCTTTAAAGTCAAATAAATATATTTATTAACTCTGTGTACCAACATGAATAAACCAAAACCTATTAAAAACCTATAAACTGTGTTTTTGCATTTACATACTTTTCATTCCATTACATACATTGTGCCATTAACCCGCACAACAGAATTGCAGTACATAAAAAATATTTATAATACTAATAATAATTTTGTTTTCAGTCAGTTATAGTTGTTAACAAGCTATGATAGTGAATGGACACCTGGCACTCTCTGCCTGTACTTCAGTGCACCATTATAACCTTATGTCTTCCTGCCTGGCTTCTTTGTTCCTCCAGAGAGTTCGAAGCCTTCTAAGAGTTCAACTCCGGTTCTCTCCAAGCAGTCAGCCAGGTGGCAGGTCTCCAAGGAGCTCTACCAAACTGAAAGCAACTATGTAGACATTTTAAGCACAATCCTACAGGTAAGTGTGTGTCTGTGTTCACATGGTGTGCACAGTTCTAATATTTCCCCCTCAGGTCAACCTGTGTGTTGTCCCTGGCGACAGTTTGAGGCTAAACTATAATCATTAAAGGTTTGTATGTGTGTATTTGCAAGCTGCAACTTGGCCTGTCTTATCAGTTGGTCCCAGCAGAGAGTCAGACAGCTGACCAGTGAGGGAGAAAATGACCTGCCTGACCATTTCTCTCTCTGTCTCCGCTTGAGAATCTTTTACTCTTCTTTATCTTTTTTGGATTTCCTCCATTTTGATGTTGCTTACTTTCAGGTTGCTTCTGTGGCTCCTCCACTGTGATTTTTTTATTTTATTTTTTTTTATCAAAGAAAAACAGCAGAAGCTGACTCCATTATCCAGAGATTCAGAATTTCATGCATGCCTAAAAAAGATGTAGTGCTGTTTATTATGGCATGTTTCATTGTTGGGTCATGTTTCTTTTTCTTTAGTATTTATAGATAATTGGATTTCATTTTTCAACCTGAAACAACAATGGCACAGTTGATTGGAGATGGGAAAAACAGATAAAGATAAAATGTATTATACCTTTTCTGTCTTTTCTCACAAGTAGGGATGGGT